CGCTCGCAGCCGAATGCGGTGAGGGTTCGGCCACCATGCCAGCCATTCTGCCGGCGATCGGAGCGTACAAGATATAGGATTTATATCAGCATGCGGTCTCGCGGGGCTTGTCCACAGATGGCAATGCGGCTCGAAGTAGATGAGGCAGCCGCTGCCACTGTGGGTGCCCCTTCTCCAATGTATTCCAACGGCTTTCGCAGTTGCTTGTTGTTACCAGCCTCCAAATAGCTCACATCCTACGTTTATATGTGGCTACCAGCGTTCTATGCCTGCGCTTGCTTTGCTTGCGTTCCTTTCTGCGTTTTCTACGTTTGTGTCTCGTCCGCCCAGCCACAGTCCACTCACCCACACTGACTTATTAACTTTCAACTTTTAATTTCAAGATGTGGCATCATAAAGTCCTTTACTTAGTTCTTAATAAGAAGATTAGAAACAACTCTGGCTTTCCTAAATTTATAATTTAAACTAGGATTACATAAAGATATTGAGTCCTAACCTTCATTTAAAATGATTAACATACTAGGATAATTTAAAAGCAGTTCATCTAAAATTATCCTTCGAAAGTCCTTGCCAGTAACACGCCGCACACATGCACACTTGGCCCTAACACGCGCGCGTATGCGCGTGGCGCTTGTTGTTGTGTTCATTGTTGCTTGTTGTGTTCTGAATCGAACAGATATTCTAATCCACCTAATCAGGATCGCGTTTCCATTGTACAGGGTGGCTACGTGTCCTCGTCGGTCAACAAGTCGCTGCCGGCGAAGAAGGCGGGCAACATTCTCAACAAGCCTAGAGGAGGTGATGGTGGCAGCTCCGGAGCGGCGAGCAGCAGTGCGGGCGGCGGCTCCTATGCGTCCGGAAACAACAACGAGGCTAGCGATGGCGGACCGCCGGCAGCGGTTTTGTCGGTGAGTACCACATGCATTGCAGAAATTGTTTAAACGCTAATCCTTTGCTTGATTTCAAAAGGAAAAGGACCTGCGCACCATCCAGGACGAAATCCGCAAACTCAAGGCGATCATCGTCAAGCAGGAGAACCGCATCCGCGCTCTGGAGGCCAAGGAGGACGCCCGCAACAAGAACGGAAGCGATGCTGCGCCGGCTTCTGCGGCAGCAGCCACCTCCGATGGCAAAGCCAGCGAAAGTGCCAATGACCACGCGTCCACATCAGCAGGAACGGCAAAGGACGAGGACTAGGTCTAGCTAATTGAGGACTGGACTGATGGAAATGGGCGGAATGGATTGGAGGAGAGACAGAGAACTGCTTGTAGAAGCTCGTAGTAGTTACCGCTTAATTTCTCTAATGCAACATAACGTTTATTTCGTACGCAATGAGGGCGCACTAGAAACGCGAAGAAGTTATTGTCTATTATGATTATGGTTTCGATTATTTATTTTGTATAATTTAATATTAGGTCCTTAGCGAGCGAAATCAGTTGAGTGTGGCACAGATAGGGTTAGAGAAAGCCGAGCTTAACCATCAAATCGAACACTAGCGAGCAGAGCTGAACGGTTAACGTATACAAAAATAACATAAAACTACATCCTGCCAAAAATATATAAAAACCTAACGAACTACCTACGATTTGCGCTTAAAATCAAGCTGAGCGAGGGGCAGACACTCGGCCCTTCGATCGTTTTGTTGTAACGCAAGTGTGAAATTGTTGTAAATTTAACAAAGGCAAATCATAGACTAAACCTCAATCACCTAAGAGTTAACATTTACCTACCAAATTTGTACGAGCTCCTTTCTGTAACGTCTGTATATTTGTACGTCCCGGAAGTTTTCATGACAATAGCTGATAGATTTGATACTGTTCATCCTAGCTGAGGCCCCCATAATCAGTCACATTTCCCTGAAAATTGTCGTGTCAAACATAACGAATTTAGTAAGAGAGTGAGGGGGTCATCGGACTTAATTCGTTTTCATAATCAAAATTTTCTTGTTCAAACTAATGATAAGCTGTATTTTGAAATAATAAGAATAACAATAAATGCAACAAAATCAGAAAGAAAATAAGAAACCAACGAACCTATTTTTATAAAGTTTTCCTTTAATTTTACTTTTCTTTTATTTTTATTATTTTTGTTAAAAAGGAATGGTGTTATGCTGCAAGTATAGAGACCGAGAGCGTCACTAAATGCCTACCGATTTTGTAATTGAATTGTAAAATGCAGACTATATACATTAACATAAATACTCTATATACAAATAATTTACAATTTGATACGGAATAAAACAATATACAAACAATGCCAGAAGAACTTGATCGAGAAAATGGAGGCCAATTAATTTTTGAACACGTTTTCGTTGAATATCGGGTAATTAACTGCTTTTGGAAATATGTTGAACCTATCTTTAATTATATCGTTGGAGGGATGCATTTTAAACTAATTGACAACTTTTAATTGCGGATAAAGTTCAACCATGCGCTATTCATTTGTTGGAAGCTCATTTGTTTGGTTCAATTGAATATGCAAATGCATTTAATTTCTGCCTAAACAGCTTTAGAGCATACTGCAAATGTGTTGTGTGTAATTATTACCTCAGCAAGCAAACCAAAAAAATTTAATTACAATTTACGTGTATAACGATTCTGACATTTTAATTAAACTTGGCCGAGTGCGCTTTTGTGGGTGTACGTGGCAATTATGATAGAGTGCGTTCCCAACCAAGTTGTTGATTTAATTAAAATTATGTTTGTTATTCAATTTGGCTCAATGCAAGTTCTGACGATTGCCGGGAGCAATTTGTTGACCTTTTCTGTTAAACCAGTGTGCCCCAAGCGAACGAAGTCCGTACGGCTAAAATGATTTCAATAGGTAAAACTAGTTCAAAAATCATTGCATACTCTTGGCCGTTTCGTTTTAAAGATGTTCTTTAATACTATTTTATTATTATAACATTTTGTTTTGTTAAGTGAACTTCCATAGCAACCAATTCTTTGAAACTCAAACTAAGTGTATTGCTCATACAATCTTTAGTTTTGTCCTAATTTCTTATCGGCTTCATTAAATATTTAGAAGGCACGTGTTTCAAAATAAAAATTTATAAAGAAATTTGAACGTTCCTAATCTTGGTCTCAAATTATCAATCCAACATTTTCTTATCTGGTTCACACAGTTTACTAATTGACTATTCTGCGCAAATTTGACAATTTTGTTTCAATCTAAATTTCAAGCATTTTGTTTCCAATTACAACATACATACTCGTCGTTTTATATGTGTATACCCGCTGGTCGCAGAGTAAAAGGGTATATTGTGATTGGGGACATATGTCACATGTAGGATTAATCTAGGATTAATATTTTAAAAAATAACATTGTTTGATTAGTTATGAATTTCGAATTTATTTTTATCAAAATCGGACTACAATATCATATTGGTGCCATAGGAACGATCGGAAAATTGGCGGGAAAACAATATGAAACAAATTATAGCTTCGGTGTTTTTATACCCGTTACTCGTAGAGTAAAAGGGTATACTAGATTCGTCGGAAAGTATGTAACAGGCAGAAGGAAGCGTTTCCGACCCCATAAAGTATATATATTCTTGATCAGGATCACTAGCCGAGTCGATCTAGCCATGTCCGTCTGTCCGTCTGTCCGTCTGTCCGTCTGACCGTCTGTCCGTCTGACCGTCTGTCCGTCTGTCCGTCTGTCCGTCTGTCTGTCCGGATGAACGCTGAGATCTCGGAAACTATGAGAGCTAGGCTATTGAGATTTGGCGTACAGATTCCTGAGCTTCTTACGCAGCGCAAGTTTGTTTCAGTAGACTGCCACGCCCACTCTAACGCCCACAAACCGCCCAAAACTGTAACTCCTACAGTTTTGATGCTAGATAGAAACTTTTAACTAAAATGTATTATTCCCATCAATACTTATCGATTGACCTAAAAAAAAGTTTGCCACGCCCACTTAAACGCCCACAAACCACGAAAACCTGTGACGCCCACAATTTGCATGCTAGATAAAAAATTTTAACTGAAATGTATTGGTCTCGTCAATACCTATCGATTGATCCAAAAATAAATTTACCACGCCCACTCTAACGCCCATAACGCTTAAATCTGTCTACCGCCGATAGGTGGCGCATTTTAATCTCGCTTTGCTGCTTGCATATCTCCATTTCCCTTTGAGTAACGGGTATCTGATAGTCGAGGTACTCGACTATAGCGTTCTTCCTTGTGTGACATATTATTTTATATTATTGGGGATATAATTTTTTGTATTTTTAAGAATTTCGAAATAATTTTAATAGTTATAAGTGCAAGAATACACAAACTTCGGATTGCCGAAGTTAACTTCCTGATTGGGCGGTTTGTGGGCGTTAAAGTGGGCGTGTCAAACTTTTTTTAGGTCAATCGATAGGTTTTGATAAGAACAATACATTTCAGTTAAAATTTTTATTCTAGCATCAAAACTGTAGGAGCCACAGTCTTGGGAGGTTTGTGGGCGTTAGAGTGGGCGTGGCACATTGCTGAAACAAACTTGCGCTGCGTAAGAAGCTCAGGAATCTGCACGCCAAATCTCAATAGTCTAGCTCTTATAGTTTCCGAGATCTCAGCGTTCATCCGGACAGACGGACATGGCTAGATCGACTCGGCTAGTGATCCTGATCAAGAATATATATACTTTATGGGGTCGGAAACGCTTCCTTCTGCCTGCTACATACTTTCCGACGAATCTAGTATACCCTTTTACTCTACGAGTAACGGGTATAATTATCTGATTAGGCAGCCTATAAAAGCAGAAGATCGGAATGGGTTACGTTCAGTTTGGTTGTGCCCCACTAACAAATAATTTCACACTATTTGGATTATAATAAGAAGTTATGAAGAAGCTAGTAGCAGTATACGTGTGCTTATTTTTGCTGGCATCTTTTGTTCGGTAAGGATATAAAGTCAATGAAAGGTACTGAATCCTGTTTCTAAAATTCTATCTCCAATAGGGCAAAATCTACTTCAAACGTAACGAGTTCCGGACAGGGAAACACTGGTCAACTTCTACCGATGGTTATCAACACCTGGCCCTTTTCAGCCGCCAACGAGGAGGCGTGGCGGATCCTCAACCTCAGAAAGGGCGGAGTTGGTCAAACGAGGAATGCCGTGGTGGGCGGAATATCCCAGTGCGAGATGCTAAAGTGTAATGATGGTATTGGCTACGGTGGCAATCCCGACGAGCGTGGAGATGTATCCCTGGACGCCTTGCTCATGGACGGCAGCACCATGGAGGTAGGGGCAGTGGGTGATCTTCGGAGAGTTAAAAGCGCCATCAAGGTGGCCCGCCACGTCCTGGAGCATACACACCACACCCTTTTGGTGGGCGAAGGAGCCGGGGATTTTGCCAATGCCATGGGATTCCAGACCGAGTCACTAAACACTCCGGAAACCACAGCAATGTGGCAAAATTGGACGGCGCATAGCTGCCAGCCAAACTTCTGGCGAAATGTGTATCCGGATTCCACGTCGACCTGCGGTCCCTTCAAGCCCTTGAATTCGTGGGATGTGGAAGCTTCTGGAACTAAAGATCATGAGATCGGACCGGATAACCACGATACTGTCACCATGGCCGCCATCGATGTGGAGGGCAAGATCCACGTGGGCACATCCACCAACGGACTGCGATATACGCTACCCGGACGTGTTGGGGATGCGTCGATCCCTGGTTCCGGTGCCTATGCGGATAACGACGTGGGCGCCGCCATCACCACCGGAGATGGTGACATCCTGATGCGCTTTCTTCCCTCCCTCCGTGCTGTGGAGGCCATGCGGGCGGGCAAGACTCCGGCGGAGGCGGCGAAGTTGGCGATCCAGAGGATACGGGCGCGCACACACAGTTTCGAAGGCGCCATTGTTGTTGTAGATCGCTTTGGAAATTATGCAGCGGCCTGTCATGGTTTCGCGAAGCCATTCTCCTTCATGGTTAGCAGCCCGGCCAATCCTAACCAGCCGACGCGTAAAGAACCGGTCATGTGCACAACAAAAATCAATAATTAAACGTCCAGGCCTGTTCACGAAGTTATTTGGTAGGTAGTTTATTTGAACTAACAGGTCAGGTCTATTTTCAACATAAATAAAACTAACAAATATTTTGAAATATTTTTAATAAATGTTACGAACAAGTTGTAATTAATGTTTCATCAAATTTGTAATAAATGTAAAGAAATTCTTTATTTAAATATAGATAACCAATGGGTATTGCCCATATGGGAACAAGCTGATCAGAATTGTTAATATGAGTTTGGGGGACAATTATCTCAGGGTTAACCAAATGGGTAACCATGTAGGGAGTAGTTTGGTAAGTTGACTAATTCCTTTTGATATTTTAATAGATGTTCACTAGACCTGTTTAAACTTATAAGGGTATTTTAAGGTGCTACTTCCATTGGATTATAAACTACGCTTTACAGCTATTTAGGGGGACCAACATTTTTGAGGATCTGCGCATTGGCTTCATAGTTTATCACTAATTCGTAAAATTTATTTAATTTTGGTATAGATTTGTAATCTAACAAATTGTTTTTTTTGTTCTTATATTTATTTTTATTTGAATAAAATAAATAACTTGAGACGGTATTATCTGGGAGACCGATTGTCTTATGCACACATTCCTCAAATTTTGTGATGACAAAGAATTTTTTTATTATTAGAAGTACATATATATAAACATATAAATATGTATTATAAATAATTTTTTAATAAAACTTACAATTCAAACCCGTCTCCTGTGTCAAAGGCGGAGGCTATAGAAGCTGGACCACCGTACAAATTTTTCAGTTACGGACAATCGGAACTCTAGACCTACATACATATTTTCATGAACGGTGTTGATAATTTAAGAAAGGCATTCTCCGCGTTTATAATTTAACATAAATGTTCCTGATTTGACCGCGTGACGTTCGTTTCGTATGAAAGCAACATAGCGAATTCTTGTCAATGTTCTTGATTTCTTTCGTTCTTTTTTTTCTGTGTGCAGAGAAAATCAGAGGAGCCTGGCATACGCTTCGGGCCAAATTGGTTCCCAAGTTCACTCTAAATATGATTGCCCATAAAGTGAGAACCAAAGTCATATAAAGATCTCTTAGCTACTGGTTATATGCACAGAGAGAAATGTTCAAGTACATTGTTCTTGAATTGAGAACATTCGATTTTAAGAACCATGTAAGTATCAATGTTCTCAATATTAGAACAAAATGGTGAGAAGAGAAAAGTTAAATAGAGTTTATTTAACATATTTTTGATAAGTATACACTACTGACTGTACTAATAGTTTATTGTTGTTGAGATATACAATGTAAATACGGCCAATTCAAATTGAATTGAGCAAAATGAAAGCATTTTCAGACTTCAAAAATGTCGTTCTATTTTCAAGAACACTTTCAACTCAGATGAGAACTTTCTCTGTGTGCAAGATCTTGACTGTGCACCAAGATAGTCCGCCTCGGCTATACAAACCAACGTTTATGGCCGTTCTGAGAAAATCAGAGGAGCCTGGCACACGCCTCGGGGCAAAGTGGTTCCCGAATTCACTCTAAATATGATATGATGTGCGGCCCCCGCAAACCGATTACCCGCAAAGTGAGTACCAAAGTCACGGCCGCAGTCAGTTTGGAATTAGATATGCGCATACATTGAGCGGCTGGGAAAAGTTTTGTTTGCAATGCAAATCTGTTTGCGATGCGATGTGTACGGGAGTGCGGCTAACGCTTAGTTAGAGACACTTGTCTGACTTGTTGGCGTAATTAAATTTATTTGGAACGGGAGCGGGCAGGACAACGACTATTTAGCCAACCGTTATGCACACATTTTGATAACTTTCAATTTGATTCCACTCTGCGGCGACATGGTGGCTCAGCAGGAGGAAGTGTTTTGCATTGTGGCCGTAATGAAATAAACTTGTCACACAGTCGGCAGCAGAGTGTCCTGTTTGCCGAAGCAACATACGCAGGGGTAAAAGGCTCGGGGTCAAAGTTCGGCAGCAGCTGCTGGGCCATTCTCATCCGCATCCGCATCCGCATTCTCGTTCTCATTGGAAATTTAATTACGCATGCGACTTGTTTACAGATCCAAAGTTAAGCCCTGCTGCCAGTCGGACGTGCACATTAACCTTAATTAAGTGACAAACAATCCACATCCAGGCAGGGCCACCGAGTTCGTCACGCCATCATTTCACTCACAGGCAATTGGATTTTAATAGGATTTGGTCTTTTGCTAAAATCCCTGCCATCTCCCGACTTAGGAGCCAAAGTTCTGGCCGAGTGTCCATTTGCATAGCCGTTTGGCAACGCAACTCTTTGGCCTGCCGGCCATTATTTCGCACTTCTGTGTAATTTAATTCATTTGCAATGTCTTTGCGAATTATGCGGATGGTAGGTTTACTCTGGCATTTGGTCTTTACGTTTTTGTCCTTTTGCCGCCCCCAGTGTTTGGCCTTAAAGTCCCTTTGCGGCCACGGGGCCACAGAAACCCCGAAAGCCGCAAGCCACTTTCGTGATCCTTCATCGGAGTCATCTTAACGCATCATTTAAGCCGGACGGGGCGGTCTACTCCCCTGAAACGGGGTCGGATAATGGTTCGTCTTTGTTGCTCTTAATTAAAGTTTAAATGTGCCAAGTTGTTTGGTCTTTTGGTCAAAAGATGTTGCTTTAACATCGGCCATTGCCCGGTTGGATGTGATTTTTTTTTTATGTTGAGGTGGGCGAGTGTGTGTGCGAGTGCCTGGCCCATCCATGCATCCATCCATCAATCAATCAATTACGCTTGGAAGTGCGCCAGGATAATAAAACGTGCCTGGAACGGAGTTTTGTCAGCAAAATTTACGATCAACTTGGCAGGAAAACGGATTTCGATTTTATGCGTTGAGGAAAGTCCTTAAAGACCGATTGTTGCAAGTGCATTGTCCAGAAATGTACAATGTAGGTGCCAGCTGAAAGAGAAGTATTTGTATGCAATTCTCATTTCAAATTGTATAAATTCATAAAGAAAATGTGTGTCTCTGGATAAGCTAAGTATTTGAAAGAAACATAGGAATAAATCTTAAAGCATAATAGAGACGTAAAGCGTTCACTTTGGATTATAAAAGTGCTCAACCAAATTAAATTAAAGCACTTAAAGAATTGTTTTTAAAGCATCCTAATAATACATTTCATTTGTTTCTTTGTCAATTATTCGGCGAAAATATCTCATCTTAATTTTTATGTTGTCGACTCACCGACTTTTACAAAACTAAACGTGTCAAGCAATAATATACAACATAAAATATATTAAACCTCGTTTTTGTGGTCAGTCATAAATACGAAACATTCTCCATTTTATTAAAAATATTTCCTTTCCACTTTGATGGGCCTGATTGCTGAATTTTCTTTACCTCTCATTTGCTCTGGAACATTTCTGTTCGGCAAGAGGTCATATTTCATGTGATTTCATGCCACCTACATACATATTAATTCAGTTCGGAGCCTGCGAAATTGCCGGCCATTGTTTGATTGCTGTAAATGCCGGACTAAGCTGGCAAAGCAATTATTTACCTAAATGGTTTGCCCACGTCAATGGCAATTGTCTGCGATTTCCATTTGGCTGAAATGTGTTGCATGCAGGCCGTCATCAGGCTGTCAGAGGCATGGGGACAATGAAATCTGGCAAAAAACGAGACGAACTGCTGCCGAGGAGGCCAGTTGGGCGCTGCAACAAAAGCATGATAAGGCAAACTTTTTAATTGAAAACCAACAAAAATATAACGTCAAAAGTTGCAAGTGGTTGACACTTCGCACCCGGACCACCCACAGCACCCAAACCACCCATTAAGAACCGTACCACCCGGCGTATGCGTGATATTGAAGGTATCAGGAGGAGCGAGTAAACGAAACGAAATGAATCCTTTGCGACAGCCGTTGCCAGGCATCCAGTGCTTTAAGCCGAGAATACATATATGTATCTATATGTAGATATGTACGTACGTGGCCGGAAGTCCATTGGTCTTAAATCTGGAGGAGAGCTATTGCCACATCGTTATGAGGGGACTCAAACAGTAGCCGCACTGCAAGGTATATACTGTATGGCACATATTTAAATTAAAGATTATGAGAGTATGCGGAGTGGGCACGTCGCACTTGCGACTGGCGGATTGGGATTGCGATTGCTGTTGACACAATTCCGCATCGAGCTTCCTGCCACTGCCACTGCCGTTGCGTTTTATTTACGTCTCTGCAATTTATCGAAGTTGGCATATGATGCCTTCTGCCCTGTTTTTCGCGCGTTTTTAAGCCGTTTGCACGCATACGAACTGCTTTCTCCGCAGAGCTTAACTGAATCAGCTGCAGTTGGTAAACAACCACCCACTGTCGTCTACTTTCTCCCACCCCCGGCGGTGTAATGTGATTATTCAGTTGTTTTGCTCGCAATTAAAACAAATTGTGTCCGCTGCGAACCAAAAACATAAACAAATGTATCGTTATTTTTGCAAACAATGATGCTGGCAATTCGATTAGCCCACCAGTTGCACGGCTTCGGCTTGGATTAATCTCTAACCCGGACATTCTTGGGTCCATGGCTAAGTCGCTCATAAGGCCAGCAACGAGCCATAAAAAATCAATTCCGAATTTGGCAATTCCGCAAAGATTTACGTTTCAATTTCAGTTCCTGCCACAATAAAAATCAAAGCAGCCGTAGTGTGTATCCCTGGAATACATCTATACACAGAGAGAAGTTTCCAAGAACATTGTTCTTGAATTGAGAACATTCGTTCTTAAAAACCGTGTAAGTACATTTTGGTATCAATATTAGTACGAAATGGTGAGATAAGTATACACTAAGAACTGAACTAATACTTTATTTGTACATACAATGTACTTAAGTACCGCCAATTCAACTTCGATTCGAGCAAAATAAAAACATTTTCAACTTAAAAATGTCGTTATATTTTTATATATATATATATATATATATATTTATCAACTCATATGAGAACGTCAGAATTTTCTCTGTGTACATATGCATGAACATGTATCCTTCAGGACTCAACCAAG